CTTACTTTTGTGCTATAACGTAATTTTTTCTTGGCTTTTATCAATTTGATCATCCACATCGATAGAAAGTATTCCGAAATTAGGAAAAACAGGTCTTCAAACCGGGTGAGAATAGCCTACGGTCGCAAGTCTCACCCGGGGTGAGAGGTCGATCGTCTATTCTCACCCCGGATGAGAATAGCCACTTCCATTATTATTACCTATTATGCATCTCAAATCATATGTAATTCAGTCAACCTCCATGAGACTAAGATACCAGAAATAGACCTGCGTGTTTGCCGACAGTTGTCTGAAATCCGACAATCGCGTCCCGACCCGCGAGCCGGCCGATGCTATCGCTAGGCCCACCTGTATTAGTCAATGTGCGTAGTGCAAGGCCTGGCCGACTGCCAGTGCCCCCTTTTTCTCACGTCGGCTTTGTCGGCACTTTCGTTTTATGTCGGAACCTGAGTAGAAATGTGAATACGAAAAAGGACGACGACCTAAATTATCTACTTTCAGTTTCATGCTTGAGCGGCCATTTTGAATTTCGTTTGTTGACTAATTCAATTGTTCAGATCGTGTGGATTCATTCAAGTCCGACCCTCTTGTTTTAATAGAATCTAGATCTAGATTTATATTTTATATAGATCATTATAGACCTCAATGGAGGATTCATATTTCAATTCTATTGTGTCAAACCCTAGATCTATCATAGGTTGTGCTGTAATATTAATGTTGGTAAAAAGCTTTTCACCAGGTGCGTGAATTATTTATTTATTTAGAATCTAGACTCAGGAGTCCCTCTGTTCGGAATCGGATGCGGATTTCTAGTTTAAGGCCTATTCCTATTCACTTGTTCTACAAGATCTAGATCTAGATTTATTTACTCAGAAGTCTTTCCTTATGACACCCACAAAAGCTCTTATGGGGGGGGGGGGTGTTGCGCAAAGTTTTCAGACAATCTGGTTGAGGCTCACATGCAGGTCTACAGAAAAAGGGAGATAAAAGATGAAAAGAACACATGTTATCACTAGAAAAGAAAGGAGCAGTGACTGATAATTTATAATGGGTAATCTTTGTAAAATAAAAATGATCCCAGTCATTAATCGATAGTTACAGTATAAACTTGATCCCCGTCTATAACAGGATTCCGCTGTGACAGGGATATCATGTTGGTCTTGGTAGCCCTCTTTCTCTCTGTCTTGCTCATTCTTCCTCTCCTTCTCTTCCCTCCCAGACATCAAAAATATTATCAAACTTGAGACTTAACCTATCGTTTATCTCTAAATTATTTAAAGTGCCCCTCAAGCATGTTAGAATGAGAGGTCTTGCCGGTCCAAACTACTCTTAATAGAAAAGTAAAAGGCTTGACTTATTAACTGTGTAGTTTTGAATTTTTCTTGGTCTTTATATAATAAAATTTAAAAACTACTGACATGACACATCCCAATGCAATTTTATAGTAAGTGGTTCTTTGATTGCCAATGTTAGACGCCAATAAAATATGTGAGGCAGCGTGGTGGAATCAGGCTCTCGTCAATTTTTGGGCATGTAGAGTTGTTGGTATCATCTTAAAGCTTGTTCACTTGTCTTTATTTGGATGGAAAAAATATCCTTTTATCTTGAATTCAAGTCGGGATGTTTGCGAAAGAAGGAGGTGGGGGTCACTTGTTTTCAGAGGTAAAATTAGTGAGAAAATGGCTGCCAAAGATTAGTTATTTCCTTAGCTTAAGAGTCGGTGGTAACTGAAAATTTACATTTATTTGTGCCTTTAATCAATGTTTTTCAGAAAAATCCGCACAGAAATGAGTTCATTAATTGGCATGAAAGGTGTTTCTTGAGCCAAAAAACAAAAATTTGATAAAAATTCACAAACCTGCGGAAGAATGCAAGTTTCTTCACTTTGATTATTTTGACAAAAGCCTGATTCCACCTCGCTGCCTCACATATAGTTTCATTCTCCAGATGTTTGAAAGTGAAAATTTACAGAAATTGCAGTTGAACTATATTTTAATACTTTTAATCTTGTCTTCCATTTCTTTCAGTCTTCAGACTACATTTTAACGGAGTACGAATCAAAACGAACACTTCGACAGCCGTTTCAGTGGCAACCACCAGAAGACTCCAATGACACGGAAACTGTGAAATGTCGAAACTCACGTCAAGGGCGGTTTCTGATTGTTGATCAAAAAGGTGAGTCATCAGATCCATCTTCTTTATAATCTGGATGCTAGAAGTGGCGATAAATGTTTTTGAAAAGGAATTTTGAGACTCTCTAGTGTTGCCTGCTAATGTCTTTATGATGGAAGCTTTGTTGCGTAGACTTCATCATTATGGGGTTGTTTAAAAAGTTACTAACTGATACAAGTATTCAAAATTAGAATGAAAGATCAACCCCATTTTTGTTTGATGTTGTTGTGTCCCATTGAATGTTGAATGGAGTTCTTAGTATGTATTAAAAGGCTATTATTAGACTATTCGGAATGAACGGATTTCCCAGTGGTTGTCAGCAAGTCTGGAGAAGTATGTAAAAGGCCTCTTTAAACAAATCTCAATTAAATGGTTTCCATAGTTAAAAATGGCAGTCACATATTTAATTAACAATTAACTGTGATCTTTGTGAGGTGTATCGAATTTTACAATTAATTGATGTGTGCAGACTTTCACTGTCAGTGTGTATTCCTCCACTTCATATTGTTGTTTATCTCTGGCGTTTTTTTTGTTACAGGCTATGTGTGCAAAAGGGAGGCTGTCGGCATAAACAACTGCTGCAATCCCAAGCATCTGTCTTCAAAGCTACATGCATGTGACACTTGTTTGTCGAATGGTTGCTGCTCTGTCTATGAACACTGTGTGTCTTGTTGCCTTCAGCCAAGAAATGTGAGATGAAGAACTTTTCCTAGAGGAAAATTTTGCATCCTTTATTATATTATGTTTCTTTGATTTGTTTCATTTTCCAGTGGCAGTACGTGTCATAGAAATCATGTAGAGAAAGGGGCAAATTATTTTTTGGGGTTTTTTTTGGGTTTTTTAAATTTATTTTTTAATGATAATAAAATAGCATTTGTATAGCGCATATCCCCGCTCAACAGCAGGCTCTATGCGCTTTACACTATATTATTACCCCAGCAAACCATAGAACACTTCGAAACATTCTGAGCTTCCTGGGAAGCATACAGTGCAAGCAGCTGATTAAGCGCTCAAACACTAACAAACTGACAAGGTTTTTCGCTGTCTATAGCCGGGTATCCATTCCCACCTGGGTGAAGTGAGGAAAATTTGTGTAAAGTGCCTTTCCCAAGGACACAACGTCGGGCTCTTGACGGGATTCGAACCCACAACCTTACGGTTACGAGTCCGAGAGCCTAACCACTAGGCCACTGATCTAGATATAGATCTATATGTGTCACGATGTTGTGGTATCAGGCGCTCGTCAATTTTTGGACATAAGGAGTTATTTGTATTATCTTGTAGCTTGTTCATTTGTCTTGCTTTAAATTAAAAAATTAACCGTCTATCTTCAATAGAAGTGGAGACATTCTTGATTAAAGTAGGTAATGTTACCTGGTTTCAAAGGTGAAATTTGCAAGAAAATGGCCACCAAAATTTGATGACTACCAAAGCTGGAGAGTCCTTGGAAACTGCAAATTTGCATTTTTCATGCGTTTATTCAAAGTTTTTCAGTAAAATCGTTACAAGTATTTGATTTTACATAGATCTAGAGACAAAAGATGTTGAGCCAAAAAATAAAAATTTGAAAAAATTGCCGAATTGGAGAAGAAGACCGTTTTCTTCTATTTCATTACTTTGACGAGCACCTGATTTCACCACGATTGGTCACTTAAATATATGCAAAATGTGGATGTAAATCAGTCTGTTACGTACAAATTTTTTGTTTTTGTTTTTTAATTATCTATATTTTTTTCCATGCCTGGTAGATGAATATATCAATGGCTATTTTAAATCCATATTTTCTCTTGCAAAGATGCATGTCATTATAGGCCTACTGTTGCAATTTGAGAAGTGAGAAATATATATTTACTTTCATTTGGTGAAAACATAAATAGTATTGATTTCATGCTAGATGTGTGTAACATGGCTTTTTTTTTTTTTTTTTCCAGCAACCACTGCTGAGTAAGATTCTCAATAAAAACTTGGAGGCTCCGTACAACTTGTTCGTTACAGAGGTTGAGAATCCGTTTGATTTGTGTCTGGCTAAGTGCAGAACCTCATCACAGGTGAGTCTGTCTGTGAAAAAAATTGATGAAGTAATGACTTTCTTGCCTTTTGATTTTTTCTCTTTTTGTTTGAATCTACACAGCCAATGTGTTGCGTTAGGTTATGTTAGAGATTTAGAGACTGTTTTAATATTCATCATAGTTAAACTGCATTAACTTTTATTTTGAACTTTGTTGGTATAATATTTGAAGAAGTGGTCTTGATTCATCAAACAGTTGATAATAATGATGATGAAGGTCATTTATAGATCAAAATTTATTGTCATCGGTTTGTAAGGTTTGTTTGTTTCTTCTTTTTTTTTTCAGAGTGTGCAACATGAGAACTCGTATCGTGACGCACACATAAAGTATTGCTACGGAGAAAGTGCACCAGATCTGCAGATAATTGTTAGCTAGTGTTGACCGGAGTTTTGGAGAATAGCTAACAAAGAAGTGTTTTAGTGACTGATGATAGTGTGATGTAGCACCCAGGAGTTTTTGTGACATTTTTTAATCATGACTGGAACCTGGTGAGCTGATCAAGTGTCATGGGCTGAGGAACATTCAAGGCCCTACAAGCGAATCTGTGATATTTCCATTGCTCTTGTAAATATTTCATCACCTGTTTTATCTAGAGAAATCCTTAATTGTTTTTTGGGTTTTTTTTGGTGTTTCGTTGAGTGTGCTATTTGCTGTGTCAAAGTCCTGTATCTTTCTCTAGACTGGCATTGTCTCAGCTTTTCTTTTTCATTGTGTTTATTTTCTTGAGATACTTGAAAAAAAACTGTTAAACGTTGATAATTTCTACTTAAAAACAACCAGTTCAACTGTGCTTAGAGTAGCTGGAGAAACACCGTTATCCCAAGCCCATCAGTCGTTAGTATTGCCCTGTTGGTCTTTGAGAGCACACAACATTTTGACGATATTCTTTGCTCATCGGAGAAACTTAGCACTCAGCTCATTCTTGCTCAACAACTGATTAGATTGGGACAGTTGGAGAGTCTTCTAAAATGTCGAAAAAGGCCAAACCAAGTCCCACCGTGAGTGGAGAGCCGCAGACAGATGCAAAACCTTTTAACCAGGATTGGATCAACTCCTGCTACCAACAGACGCTTTTGCCTAATGCACCATGGCACAAGGTAGGTTGCTAATGATAAATCTTCGCTTGTGAACTGATAGGCTACAGTAAAGTTACGGAGGGGATAGGGTAAAAAAGATTGTCTTACTGTCGAACCTGTCCAGGACAACCACTTTTTGTCAAGGAGAAAAGTTGTCATCTTAACCAGTGGTTCCTTTTGGACAGTGTCATGGTGAGATGGACCCAAAAAATTGCTGCGGGGGGGGCTGTTTATAAAGATTATTATCTTGAACAGGTGGTCAAGGAGGCAGATTCAGTTGTATTTTTAAAAAATTAGTTTACTCTTTTTTAATGTTACTAGCCATAAGCTTTTCTTGGTCAGCATCAACTTCTTTGGATCAAACACAAGGATAAGCTGATGGATGGTGATTTTTTTTTCTTTTCTAGAGTATTTTTGTAGGTGGTTAGCAGGTGCTAAAGAGTATTTTGCTCCTTCCTTCTTATCAATCATCTTTTGTCCTTATCTCCCCTCCTTTTTTACCCCAAATGTTACTCTCTAGTGACACCCTTAACCTTCAGCACTTATAGGGCCTCTTTGTGTTGCAAGTGCAGAACTCTCACTAAAACTAAACTAAGAATTTTTCCTTTTTTGTTGGGTTTTATTTTACAAACTGGTGGTTACGTATTTACTTCAGTGATGGTCAAGAGGATAAAGCAGTCTGAGATAAATTTTGGTTACTGTGGCAAACATACACACATAAATACATAATTAATTTTCCTTTCAGCTGGAAGAGGAGGTCTCTCACAATTTGGCGCAGAAGGCTGAGAAGCAGTTCAACCACCCGCAGCGAAAGGAAATGTTGATGGACGTCTTGGGCAAGCACTTTGTGGAGAAATACCTGGCTCATGTGCAACGCACTCCGGATCTGCTGGTAAGTGTGCGCGTGTGTGTGTGTGTGGGGGGGGGGGGGGGGGGTTGTTGCTGCAAACAGTGAGAGGGAAATGGTGTTTTTTGACGTTGTCTTTTGTTTTCCACAATTTATATGTGGGATCAGAAACAAATCTTTGTCTTTATTGTAGTTTTTATGAGAAAAAAACATGTTGGCATTTAGCGCCTGGCAGAAGAGAGTGATCACAAGGGCTGCTGGCAACCGATTAACAAGAAAAAAGTGTTTATTTGTGCTTGAGGAAAGGGAACATGCTTTGGCAAAGTCAAAGTCAGTTTTGACCTAAAGGCCTACAAAGGTGTAAAAGTGATAACAGGTAAAAAATGTATTTCCACTAGTAAGTTAAATTTTTCACTTCGTACATCATATTTAAAAAGGGTTTTTCGACTGTATTTGTGAGACAGCATGATGAATTCAGGGGCTCGTCAACATAATGAAATTGAAGAAACTGGCATTTTTCCTCATGGATGACAATCTTTGTAGAATATTAGTTTTTGGCTCAACATCTTTTATGTCCATTAGAGATCACATTTCTGTGTGGATTGTACCGAAACATGTTGATAAAAGGAACAAAAATGTACATTTTCAGCAAGCTCTCAAGCTTTGGAAATAGCCAAACTTTGGCACCCTTTTTCTCACTAATTTTACTTTGAAAGGAGACACCCCCACCTCGTTCAATCATAAATGTTTCTCCACTTCTATTCAAGATAGATGGGAATTTTTCATCAAAAGTTAGACCAATGAACAAGCTCTGAGATGATACCAATAACTCCACATGCCCAAAAATTCACGACCGCCTGATTCCACCACGTCGTGACACATTTGGTCTCAATTTCCTGATGTCTCCAGGAACCAGGACACATGACAGCGGAGGAACGGAACCGGCTGAAGCTGGACGCTCAGAACTGGCTCAACAGTCAGATGCACAAGGCTGTCAATGAGACGGGACATAAATATCTCCTTACTGGACTGGTGCCAGGGTGAGGAATTTTTTCTTAACTTTCTTGGATTTGGGAAATCTGGAATGTGTTTCTGACTTTATGTTGTTGTATGACATGGGTTGGGACCAAAACTACTGAGATAGGCAGAATGGTTAGAGGTGAGTGTTGAATTGCAGAAAGGTCTAAGAAGCCACTTGCTACTACTGGAAAAGCTGAGAAGAAAAAGATGATGTATTATACATTGAGCATCATGTTCTCACAGAAAAAAATAGAAGGTAAAAGACGAAGAGGTAGAGCAAGAATAATGTGAAATCTTAAAAACGTGAACCGATGGGTTTTGCGGTAAAAAGTGGAAGAGTATAGATTGTGTAAGAGGATGTAAGGAGAGAAATGAGTGATGAACCATGATTGCCTATGTTTGTTTGGGGTTTGGCATTCAAAGAACAAATAAAGTGTTATATTTCCCTTGATGATGTTTAAGCTTTTTTTTTCCGTTAATGATGTTTAAAATGTTGTTTTGTCCGTTTGCCTGTAGTTCCTATGACCTCTTTGCAGCACCACCTGTGTCTAATATATTTATACGTATTTCATATGACCATGTCTCTGGGCTCCCGCTTTTTTGCTGGTTTAACTTTTTAGTAATATAGTTTGGTTGAGTTCGGTTTCTCTCCAATATTTTTAGTTACTGTTTTATTACTAAACAGCTAACTCTCTCAATTTTATTTTTAAAATTTTTAACAAAATCAAACCGAGAAATTGAATTTTCTTAAAATTTGTGAAAGACCTTGTTTTTTAAAAGCAACCATTAGGCAGAACAAAAGTGACCTTGAATAGAAATTGAACTTGCTGAATGCATTCTCCTTTTTTCAAGTGATAACACTCTTCCATTGGCCGAGAAGTAAGATAATAATGACATTTTTTTGTGTGTTTTAGAGAGCCACCCCCGAGTGGAAATTATGCTGAATTTCTCCAGCATACGTTTGGAATCTTCACCAATGGCTTGAATCGTGAACTTTACAAACAAGAACAAATTCTGACGGTAAGTAATAAATGATATAACAATGGGAGCTGCTCTAATGACCACCGGTTCAAGACAATCATCTGTTCAAGCAATAACTTCCCTCTTTCCACTCTGCTTTTTTTTTCTTTTCTGTATTATAATAACATTGTGGAAGAGGACCCACCTGTCTAACATGACCACTTCTCTCCTCAACAAATGGTGGATCGTCTTGGATAAGTTCCGACTGTACTTTCAATCTGCTCTCCTCCATGTACTATAAATGGAAATTTGTGGTGAAAAAAAAAAATGGTGAAATGCTATTGGTTTAACTCCCCTATCAACACCCTTGTGTTATTCAAAAGGCAGGACCTCTGAGTTAAACGTCCATCTGCATAAGGACTGTTTGTGGTGTCTCTATTTTTTAAAGATAAATAATTTTGTGGTTTCCCCCTTGTCCAATACAGACCAAGTCGTTATTTTAATGTATTCATTGGTGTGTGGTTAATAATTTACTTTGAGATTGTACAGGGTCTTCATGTGCAGCTAATTATTATTAATTTTTTTTACAAGTGTTTTTGCCTTTTATTTTTATGTTTGTTGAATAGACAGCTTGTGATTTGTTGTATTGCTAGACATACTAGTTTATTTGTGATCACTGGATGTCGATAGTTGTTCCCTTTCCCACTTCATTAAGTAAAGAGAAAAATTGCATAGAGCATTTCTTTGGCTCAGTTGGTATCATGCTTAGTTATAGTGTGGATGACCCTGATTAGAATCCCCAATGACTAATCCACTTGAACTCAGTAATGTCTAAGGATTGTTTAATTCAACCATTTTTCAGACATCTTTATCTGAAATTTAAGGCTTGCGAGAGAGCCTTCATCTTTGTCAGAGATCTAACATTTTTCGCTCATCTTTGTTAAAAAAAGACGAACATTCTTCCTTTATCTTCCTTCATCTTTGAAGAAATCAAACATTTTTCTATACTTTTTGTCAAAAATCTACCATTCATCGTTCATCTTTGTCAGAAATCGAACATTCTTCGTTCATCTTTGTCAGAAATGTAAGATTCTTCCTTCATCTTTGTCAGAAGTTTAAGATTCTTTCTTCATCTTTGTCTGAAATTTAAGATTCTTTCTTCGTCTTTGTCAGAAATCAAAGGCTGATGAGTTGAATAAGCTGAAGAAAAATGGAAAGGCAGACATTTACAAGGTTCCGGCCCCGAGCAGGATCAAGCCCGTTGGCACGGCTGCCTCCAACTCCACACAGTCGACAGTCAAACCTTCTACTGGACAAATCAGGTGTAAGTAAAGTGAACTGCTGGCTGAAGTCTATCGGTGCTCAGTTGATCTTATGTAGCTGCAAGCTCTGTAAAACTCACCAATACGAAACAAGAGTCTACCCTCAACAAGATGGGGGAACAGTTTATTTCTAGATTGATAAATTGTCAGCCCATCTTATTCACTATACTTTTATGACCATTTTGTGATGTGCATATTATGATCAATTGTGCTTTGATTGTATAAAACTCTGCTTATGTGTTGAGGTTTCTCTTAAGAGTGTACATGTGCATGTTCATGCATATTTGTTTTGTGTTAAAATGAAGATGTAAGATGCCTAGTGCTATTTTGTACAAGAGTGGACACTTAAGAAAATGGAGTGCATTATTAGTATGTAGGAGAAATGTCATTTGAATATAAGACAGCTTCTTGTGTGTTTGTTCTTACAATGAATGTCGTACTTCTGTGTTTTGTCTAAGGAAAGCTCATATAACATTATGCAGCTTGTAGTGGCATAAAACTGTGAATCAAAAGTCTATGAGGGTGAAAGAATACACTATATTGTTCACCCTTCCTCACTTTATTTAATATTCTACGCGCTCATAATATGTCCTTCTGTAGTTGCGAGCGCCGTAGAGCTCTTACCAAAACAAACGAGCATAATCCTTTTTATATCTATTAGAAAAAGAGTTTTCAAAACATTGGTTATGTTTGTTTCTACTTTGCTCCGTGATTGTTCAAGAGATGTTCTTATTGTTTCTTCCCTTTCTTGTCCCCCCTTTTCACCTCCCAGCTCTAGTCCACACCGTGGAGGGTGACCCTCCGCCCCTGTGGGGGCCGCAGAGTGACAAGATGGGTGCTGCCGTGGCCTCACTTTTGCAGCGTGACCCAAAGAAGTTTGAGGTTGTTGTAGGGCGACTGCACGGCAGACAGCTGCCTGGGACACTACGGGCGTACATCTGGGCGGATGTGCTGTTTAAAGGAGAGCGGAAACGCATGAAAGAAGTGTGAGTAAAATATTTTGAGATGCAGACACAAATTTCAATTTGTATACTGGCCGTGTGTTGGCTCTGTTTTAGTTGAAGTACTGTCAAAATTGTCCAAACCAGCCACTTATTGTTGAAAAGAAAATGGTTTTCTTAGACAGGTGGACGTTTTGGACAGTATCGTCATAATACAGAAAAAACACAGGAGGAAGGCTGGAAATGATTGTTTGTACAGGTGATTGTCTCGGACAAATGGCTGTTAGAGAAGGTTGAACTGTACATGGCTCTTAGTAACAAAATGAAGTTTTTATCCTGACTGTTTTGAGTGGGAATTGGTTGGGAACATTCAGTGATAGCAGTTTGGAAAATTCAGTGTCAGTAGTTGGGAACATTGGGTGTAAATGATTTGGAGTTACGCAATTTTCATATGTGCTGTGACAATTTTTGCCCTGGTACTTACCTTGGATGTGAATCACAGGAAGGAGGGCTTGTAATATGATGTCTGTTTCAAGTTCAGGCCTCTGTTTACCCCCTTATTATGGCTCAAAATGGCTTTATCATAGTTTTAAGCTTTTGATATAATGTATTGTTCTTACTCTGAAAAGTCCAATTCCTTTCATGTTCTTTGTTTCTATTTTTACTCTGTTATTGCCTTTCAAATTTTTTTTTACCCTGTGACCATTTTAATACTTAGTTGAAAGTTCTTTTCTTCATTTCAAAATTTTGCCTGAATTTAATATTTTCTTTCCTTGTGATTTTTCGTTTCGTGCTGTTAAAACTACTTTGTTGCATGGCATGCTCCTTCTTTCATATCAAACACATATCGTCCTTATCTCTCCTCCTTTTCTTCTTTTTTTATTCTTTTGTGGTAACCCATCTAATCTTTGGCACTTTTACTTTTATGACTTATTTGTGTTGCCAGTGCTGTAAAACTCTTTTTAAAACTTTAATTCAAAATTTTAATTGAGCAGGTATGTGGAGAAAGTGGTGAGAGAGAGGTTTGCCCTGGCAGTGACCCGCGGTCTCACCGAGCTGCGCATAAAGAAACCCACACAGTCTCCCATCAACGGGCTCATCCAGAACGCTGTCATTGAGGTACGCCTGTCAAACTGCTAGACTCGCCAGTCTTCCTTACCTCGTTTAATTAGGGTTTTGGCATGCTGAGCCAATGGTCCAATCTCAGTTTTTTTCAAAAAATTAAATTTCTCAAAGTACATATTCATGATGCTGAGCATGAAATGGCTAACTCTGCTTTTTAAGCAATTTTGGAATTTAGATTTCACAGCTTGGAATGACTTGGATGCTGAAAATGTTTTTAAATAGTCCTGAACTCTCATGAACTAAAAGTAAAGAGACCAAGTCTGACGATTTTTTGCACTCTCCGAATTGCACCCGAGGAAAGAATATTTTATCAACAAGGACATGTCTGGTCTGAGTCCAAACAAGAGCACTGAGGAAAAAATAATTCATTAGCTTCGATCAGAAGAAAGTTATCGAAGAAAATGCATGGTATAATTTTAAACTTCGTATTTTGACATGCTCACTGAGAGAAGGTTAAGTTTTTAATGGGGAAGCACGGGTGATGAAATCTGAAACAAAATGAAAGTCTAAATGAAGCTGACTTCTAGTTTTTTTCACTTGACCACACTAAGTGAAATGGACATTTTTCTGCCGCTTTGTGTGTTTCTCTTAAACTAAAGTAAATTAAATGCATTTTAAAAAAATATTTTTGTATCATGTTGTCTACAGACGTACAGCAAAACCACCAGTATGGTCCCATTCAAGCACATGGAGCATATGAAGGAAAGCATCAGGGCTCTGAATGTCCTGTATGTATATGACCGCAGCTACGAGCCCTATCTCATACATTGGCTCTTCCCCTTGCAGTTGGCCTTCAGGAACGAGCAAGCTATGTCAGACGATATGGGTGAGTAACATGTGACATGTTTACGTGATAGTACTGTGAAAGCTTTCAGTGCTGTGAAAGGAAAGATTTGGTCATGTTTTTTTACAATGCTTTCAAGCAACACGTCATACATGTGCCATTTGATGCTCTCAGTTTTAGTGTGAAAGGTTTAATTAATAGTCTAAATCAGCTCTATAGTCCCTTGTCACCTGTCACTCTGGCCGTGTTGGTTCATTAGTGCCCCTCTTCTTGCCTAGTCAGGCCTCCCTTTTCCCCATTCTTAACTGTGATATATATTAATTCAGGAAGTTGTAATCCACTGTCAGATTTTACGTTTTCAATGTATGATGCTGGAGATCTTCCCTTTTTTTATCTCTCTAAAATTGCAAACTAAAAACTCTGATGTCTTTTGTCTGTGCTTCCCGGGTGGTTGGAGGGAGCCTCTGGTAGGTTCTACGTCTTTTCTTCCACTCTGTTGCTTCTGTCTATGTCTTGCTTCTTCCTCGCACTATCTGACAGTTATTGTATTGATGTGCTCCTGTTTACTCAAATTTGAAAAAATAACTAAAACTCATCTGTGCTTTGTTGTGGGTACTCTTTGAATAAAAATTTTAATCTAAAATCATATATTTGTTTCTGTTGCGTTGCAGGTACTCTTAGAGTACAAACTAAAAGCTTGCAACATCATTTGTTTGTGTCTTGTTACAGATATTCTAAGAATGCAAAATTAAAACTCCGTCCATCTTTTTTGTCTATTTTGTGTTGCAGGTACCCTTAGAATGCAAACTAAAAACTTTCATCATTTTTTTTTGTGTACTAAAAACATACACATTGTGTGTTTGTGTTTTGTGGAAGGTATTCTTAGAATGCTAACTAAAACTTACATCATCGTTCATTTTTGTGTTTTGTTGAATTGAATGCAAATTTAAAACTAAGGTGTTTTTTTTGGTCTGTGTTGTGTTGCAGGAGAACACGTGCTGGAGCTGGCAATGTACCTGGACATGCTCAACTCCAACTGTTTCCCCAGCTGGCCGCACGTGTTCGCCATGGCCGAGCAGGTCATGTCCACCTTACAGCAGCAGGATCCAAAGCTCCACGACCACCTCAAGCGTATCGCTCCCATCAACGCACAGGTCAACCCAAAGGTGCCGCACTTTCATTAACTTCTCATTACGATTGTTTAAGTGGTGCCGATTTTCCAGAGACATCCAGAAATCCAGATTTCTGAAATTGTCTGTATTTTGTAATATACTCCCTCTGTTTAGACAAAATTCATTTTGTCATTGTTCCACAAGTGGTCATGGAGCTTATTTAAGTGAAACATTTAGTTCAGGACTGAAGTATAACAAATGTTTATTGGGGTAGGTATGCCAGAAGGGTGAAAAACATGTCTCTGTAAGGTGAGGCTTGAATTTGAGAAGTCTATCTCTGAGTATGTTTTATTAAGTTCATGCTCTATTTTAATGAGTGTATTGTTCTATCCCAAATGTGTTGTGAGGTTCACACTCTATTTTAAATAGTGCGTTTGTTCTAACACTATTGTGTTATGAGGGTCATGCGCCATTTTAATGAGTGCTTTTGTTCTCTTAGGAATTTCTGGTTCAGTTGCTGCATCAGGAGAGAGAGAAAGGTGAAGCTCTGATGAAGACGAGCACCAATACGCCTCGAGCTGCAAGCTCTTCCACACAGTTCCTGGCCGACCCGTCCATCTTCTTACGACGCTGGATTGGAGAGGTACTGACAGTAGAAAGTGTCTTATGGCGTTACTGTGCAAGGAGCTAAAGGACTTGCTTTGACTAATTAGAAATTTTTAATGAGAAGAAATGCAGTCGAAAGATGGCCATCTATAGTCAAAGAGAAAAGTGGTAGTCTTAGACAGGTGGGGGGCTTGGATAGTGATGTCCTTAAAATAGAGGAAAAAAAACGCAAGGTGGTAAGCGGTCATTTGTAAATATGATTGTCGTGGACAGGTTGCAGTTAGAGGGGGTTTGACTGCATATACAAAGTCTGCCCATGTGTCGAAAGTCAGGTCTATTATTTTGTATGGAATTATATTGGTTTATTAGTTATGGAGAAATCATAATTTTTATTACATTTTTTGTCGCTAATCAATGACACTGGTGGAATTGGTGAGCCGGGTGCAACAGTAGCTATGCAGTTGTGGTTTAAGTTGAGAGCGAAAAACCTAAAAACATGGGCTTTAAGTGCTTTAACATATTGATTGCAGAACTGATGGAATGTCAAGTTTTGCTTATTAAATGTTTTATTAATGTGTGTGTCCTAGATATCGAAATGTATATGTATTACTGGTGAAGGTAAAATGTAATTCCCTTTCACATCTTTGTGCATCACTACGATCATAATGTTCTGTTTCCTGTTTCTGAGAACTAGCTATGACCCTATAGTTACCTCGAATTCATAGTTACCTCGAATGCTGCACACTAGATCAAACTGTTCAAATTTAGAGAATATACTGTACGTTTTACGGCATCATGGATTATACTTTTCCATCGTCTATGTCTGAAGTGTCCCGACTGCTATTATGACATGAGGTCATCCCTGCAAAAACTGCTCGAAAGCAATACCTGTGTATTTGTGTATAGTCCTCCTTTCATGATGTAAACATTTTCATTGTAAATGTCCCCCCCTCTAAATTATCTAAATTTTGTTGATTGGGGGGGCCCAATCAACAAAATTTAGATAATTAAGAGGCAGGCTGCATTGATTCTGCATGTTAGGGCAAACTTGGGCTGAGAGAGGTGCAACATTCCAGCAGACAGGCAGATATGCCTGACCAAAAAAATGTCTCGACACGAGAATTGGAACTCGATTTCTTTTTCATGCAATAGTAAAGAACTTAACCACTAAACGTGGGTGGTTAGCGGGTGCTCTGGTGTGGTTTGCTTCTTCTTTCCTGTCGAACATCTATCATCCTTATCTTCCCTCCTTTTTTATGTTTGTTACTCTCTTGTAACACCTAATCTTCTGGCGCTCATATGACCTTATGCAGTTGCGAGCACCGTAAAACCTCTATTAAAACAAAAAATGACCACTAAACAACAGACGTCTTTATGGACATATTTTAATATATTTTTCTTTCACCTTTTTTTCTATACCGGTGTCTCTGTCGTAGCAGTTAGGGTCTTCACTCTTGCACACAGGAGACACGAGTTTGATTCCTGAGCGTAGAGAATTTTTATGGAGTATCTCAGTCATTCTGCTGGGATGTTGTATCCCTCTCAGCCGTGGTTGACCCTGACAGGCAGGGTCGAAAGCCCGCCTCCTGAATGATCTAATTTGGAGTTTTTTAATTGTGTTGACAGTTGAGTTTTTTTCTGTGAACCTGAAGGGTTTTGTGAGCATCGTGGACACGCCGTGTATGATGTACCTGTGGGATCAGATGTTCATGCAGAGCTGGAGGCAGTCAAGCTTGGTCAACATCTGTCTCTGCCTTGTGGAGCTGCTCAGGCATCGCTTCATGGAGGCCCACGACTATGTCACCATGAAAGAGGTGAGTGTCTGTGGAGGTCATGACCTCCTTCATGAACGTCATTGTGTCATTGTGAAAGAGGTGAGTGTCTATGGAGGTCATGACTCCTTCATGAACGTCATTGTGTCACTATGAAAGAGGTGAGAGTCTATGGAGGTCATGACTCCTTCATGAACGTCATTGTGTCAGTATGAAAGAGGTGAGTGTCTGCGGAGGTCATGACACCTTCCTGAACTTCATTACATCACTATGAAAGAGATGAGTGTTTATGGAGGCCCATGATTATGTCGCCATGAAAGAGGTGAGTATTTGTGGAGGTTCTGTCCTTATAAAATAGGCATCGCTTTATAGAGGCCAATGACTACGTCAAGTTTCTGCCATAATAAAATAGGCATCACTTTATGGAGGCCCATGACTACGTCAAGTTTCTGCCATAATAAAATAGGCATCACTTTATGGAGGTCCATGACTACGTTAAGTTTCTGCCATAATAAAATAGGCATCACTTTATGGAGGCCCATGACTACGTCACTATGAAGATGAAAGAGGTGAGTATTTACTGAGGCTTGAAAGTTAGGTTCATTTTATCGTATTTGTTACAATTTTACAAGATGCTGGCACTGTGTCTATAAATAAATTTGCATTTATCTTTGTTCTTTTTTACTTCAGCGAATATATTTTTTTTTGGTGAATCTGTGTCTTGTGTACTTTTAATGGTTGTACAGCATTCAGAGCTGTTTTCTAATGGGATAGAATTCTATAATGTTATCTATTTATTATCATTATTGTTAATATTATCATTGTGATTTTTCTTCTTCTTCTTCTTCTTCTTCTTTTTCTTCTTCTTCTTCTTCTTCTTCTTCTTCTTCTT